GCAACCTCAAACTCCTGGGCTCAAGCGATCCTTCTGCCTCAGCCTCCCGAGTAGCTGGGACTATAGGCATGAGCCACCATGCCCGGCTAATTTTTTCTATTTTTAGTAGAGACAGGGTCTCACTCCTGCTCAGGCTGTTCTCAAACTCCTGAGCTCATGTGATCCTCCCACCTCAGTCTCCCAGAGTGCTAGATTACAAGTGTGTGCCACCGCACCCAGCCACATTGTTTCTTAAAACAACAACAACAACAACAACAAAAACTAGGTACTGTCACAGCAATAACAATTTCTACTTTCTGTGTCGTATGTTTTATAAATTGGATTAAATGTGTTAAACAAAAACGATGGGGGGCCATTGTTTTGGACTGAGCCCCTGTGCTAGGTCCAACAGACCAGATCAAACCAGAATAGTGTCACTCGTGCCAGGTGCCATGTAATCAAGCTGAACTGTAAAATGGGCCAGTTTTCCAGGAGAATTGTAGCAACCAATCGGAAGGGCCCCAGTCCCCTCTGTAGAAAAAGTAACTTTGCAACAATCTGCTTTTTGTTCCTTGTTTCTGCTTTCTTCAGCCTTTTTCTGCCTATAAAGCCCACCTCTTCTACTCAGCTCATCGGACCGCCTTTCTAAATGTTTAGATGTGGTGCTGCCCGATATATGAATCACTAATAAAAGCCAATGGGATCTTTAAACTAAATTTGTGGACATTTTATTTCTTAACAAATATAGTCTCTATTAAAGCAAATGTAAAATCTTTTACAACAACAAGGTCATAATCCTTAATCTCACGATCTTGCTAATAGGAATTGTATTGCTGAAGAAAAATTCTTGGCCACGCATGCAATATGATATAAGTAGAAGCTTACCTCATAATATGTCAATATTATTTGATTTAATAATGTTGAGACTGAATAAAATGCTCCAGTCATGATACCTAAAATAATAAAGAGAAAATTTTCAGCGTGTCATTTACCAGTTCATGAAGTGATGTGGAATACTACAGGACAATTGTGAAAATATAATGTATTTTTTGGACGGTTGACAAAGAAAACTGAAAAACTATTGCCATTCCCTTTCATTATGTAGACAGATCAATTTAACACCTAAATTTACTAGAGATCTGATAGTACAATTCTGTCCTAATATTACTATTATTTAGATTTGAGATCTACTGACCATAAATGACATCCCCACATACAACACTGTATATGGCAACCAACCAAGCAGTGGATTGTGTTTTGTTTTGTTTTGTTTTTGAGAAAGGGTCTCACTCTACTGTCCAGTCTAGAGTGCAGTGGTATCATCATAGCTCACTGCAACCTCAAACTCATGGGCTCAAGTGATCCTCCTGCCTCGGCCTCCCAAAGTGCTAGTATTACAGGCATGAGCCACCATGTTCAGCCCAAGCAGTGGATTACTTACTGAGCACCTACAATGTATTATACACCGTGGCCAACAAATGTTCAAAGCATAACAGAATCCCTGCTTCAGAGATCTTACCCATATGTTAAAGACTTACTAGGCCATTCATAAGGCAAAATTAATTAAAAAATACCTAAAAAGAGAATAAAAACAGCTGGTTATCAGGAATCATATGACTAGGTTTGAACTCTGGTCTTTCCTTGCATGTGTTGTATGCATTTAGGTAGCCTCTTAACCTGGCTGAGACTTAAGTTTGTTATTTTTCTCTCTCTTTATTATTAAATATTTCAAACACATAAAATAGTATAGAGAATAACATAACAAATAACCTTACTTATCACCTAGATTTGTTAAACATTTACATTTTGCCATCTTTGCTTCAGATTCATTTTTTTAGACTTTTCCCAATCCTATTTTCTCTTCTTTCTCAAAGAAGGGAATCCAGGTTGCAGTCTCCATGAGAATCTAAC